TTTCTATTGACATGTAAGTTGCTTTCATGGATCTATCATTATTCACAAACTGATTTTACGTTAAATAATAGGTAGTTGTGGAATTAAAGAAGTACATTTCATCTTCTTTGTAACTTACTAGTTAGAAGTACCTGATTTCCTTTTCATGCTATTCTTCAAAAGACTTGAATCCAATAAATATCTCATTATACTAAATTCACTTAGTATTGTTTGTTTAAATCTTCCCATTGATGTTTAGGACTGCAATTGGTCAGTCTCTAATTGTCAAGTGTGTATTGCCTTGATATAGTCTAAATTCACAAGCATGGTAAGCAAAGATGGATAGCGGCTAGCAGTGGAATATAGGACGCTCGTCTCGTCCTATTTGGGACTGGTCAGCTGGATGTACCTGCATCTCAGAGTTGATGTTCACTCTGAGACTTGAACCCAGTACCTTTCGCTTCAAACGCCGTCGCGTTATCCGCTCGGCCAATGAGTCCTGATAGCCACTTGCTTGTGCAATGGGGTGAGGTTTAAATTCATTTACTATTGTTTGTTTGAATCTTTCCATTATACCAGTTTAATTTTGAATGAAATTATCATCAGTAAAATACCTGTACACAAACAGACGATTTTTATCTAGATAAGATGAAATCAATTGCATTTCTAATAAATATCAGAATTTTAATTACGTAATAGCTACTAAATGGATAGATTAAATTTTCATAGTATTTTATATACATTTAACTCAAGTAATATAAAAACAATTGATAGATACTAAAAAAAACTATGTGAAAAGAACGAAACGACCGCCCAGTGCTTCCAAGTTTTCCATGGTGGTCTAGCTTCAATTGACTCATGATTTCAACTATGAAAATACTGAAATCTCCAAAAAAAAAACCTTCTCATTATAATCATACGCTCACTGGAGACTGACTTCAAGAGATATTTCCTGGAGTTCTAGTGAGAAGCAGTGACCAGTGGAGTTCAACCAGGTCTGTTGTGAGATAGGAACTCACTGAGGACAATTGGTGAACGGTTGCTCAACTTCATGGATTGGTTGAAGTTAGACATTGACACCATGTGATGCCAGCTGAGTGGTCTAGTGGTTAAGCGCTCTGGTGCGAGACTGCTAGGTCTTGGGTTCGAATCTGGCGAGGTGGGATCGTGGATGCGCACTGTTGAGAAGTCCCACAACAGAACGAAACGGCTTTCCAGTGCTTCAAGGTTTTCCATGGCGGTCTAGCTTCAATTGACTCATGATTTCAACTATGAAAAGTAAATTTGTTGATGAAACTAAATAAACTTCTTCCTAATTTAATGACAGAAATGAATAGAAATATAATCTAAATATTATAACACATTAAATCAGCTGACAGTATTGTATTTTTGTTTACCAGGAAACTTTTACATTAAAATGAAGTGGAAATGAATTCTCAAAGTAATTAAGTGATTACTTAACTAAATTTGTCTACTATATTCTAATATGAAACACAATGTATGATTATGTAACTAGAACCATGAATTTAATTATGAGATCTTATTTATTTTTATGATCCCCTACAGTTCGATATATCATATGATTGGATTGAGAAGTATATATCGATCAAGTTTATAAGTAGCATAATAAGTAGTTCTATACTTTCGAAATAAGGTAAAATCTATGATACCAATCATTTTAGGTTATCATTTTATAATTTAAAAATGTGTTTAGGTGTTCAATCTTATCATAGCATCCTCTACTAACCTAATATGTTTTCATCCCATCTTTGAAACTGCTGTCACTGAATAAATCACCCAAGTTGGACAATTCAAGAAAGCAACTGTACTTTTTCATAGAATCAAGTGATTTTATTCCGTTTAATGTAAGGAATCATATAATTATTGATTTAACTGAATTAGGAAATGCTCAATCTCTGTTGAGATGCCACTGTAGGATATATATATATATATATATATATATATATATATATATATATATATATATATATAGGGCAAGTGAAATACCGCTGGGCCCGGTATTTGGGTTACTAAATGTTCACCGATTCTCGTCAAGTTCAAGGACAACCAATGCGCATCAATTAATTGCACGCCATGGACCGGTTCATGAGGTGGTGCTTGCAACTTTTACCTAATTTTACTAATACATTTTTGTAATAACTTCTTTTGTATTATGTGGTCTTCAAAGCAGCCATAATACCTTGATACGACGAAGGGGTAACCCATGTTTTTTGCAGACGGTGACGTGTAATTTCGAAGTTAGCTGTTGATCACATGATTCCCGTCTAACTTTAGTAGGCCTCAAATCATTCGACATAGATCATCTACGTTGATGATGTATATATACACTTTATCGACAGATTCTGTTATATTCTTCGTAGAACTTTAATATTTATGAATCAATAATCCAAGTATAGAATAAAGTTAGATTTTATTCTTGAATACACATATCATATGACTTTCATATGATCGGAAACATATCTGATTGAATAACACTAATTGTAAAATAAATACTGACGGTCAAATATAGGTGCTTCATTTTAAAAAGTTTTAAAACTTCTCATAAGAGGTTGACTGTGATCAAAATGATTAATTGATCAAGTTTCTGAGTCGCTGGGTGTAGAGTATTATATCCCTCAAGTTATAATTTAGTAGTGAGTGTCAGTCGTCAAATAACCTGAATTCAAAAGTTACTCCTGGTTATCTGAAACCATCCAACATTCTTACAAACAGCTACAACTAAGTAGATCAACAAATTATTATTTGTAGGCAATCAACATTGACATTTGGAAAAAAAATGAATCTGAAATCCGAAGAAATCAACACGAAACTTGTTATCGGTCAATAGTGGTAAAGAATAGTGTAATTAAGAAATTTCAATGACTGTACGAATGAAATAAGACTGGAAGTAGACAACTTTTATAGAATATAGCTTCCTTGTCAGAATGATGTCACATAATTACTATAATCATCAAACAAGAGAGAAATTTCATCTGGGCGTATCGTTCCTATTGATCTAGCTGTTGATTATGTTGGGCTCTCAGTCTTACTGCTTATACTTGACAATCGAAAACTACTGAGAGTTCCATGATGCAAAGTTAAAACATGAAAAACTGATGACTCTCCAGAAACACATCCCCAAACAAATTTCAAAAATCACGTCCGCCCAAAATCATATCGCCATTAAACCGAAATACAATCATTTATATACGAATTTTTACACACAATAATATCAGGTGAGAAATACATATAGTTGCTGTAAGAGCATATACACTAAATATAGTTCACTTGAACTGATACACAGAATATAATTGTCACAGTGAACGAATCTCTCACCTACCACTTTGATTGAAATTCATAATGAAATGATACAAAAAATATTGACCTGAATAATGTGATCTTTTTTAACTGCAATTCCACCTCCCACTCTTTTAGCTGAATAAGTGGGCAGGTTTTTCAGTTTCATGTGGAAAAACCGACTTAGCCTTATGGCTTCTATTTCCTGTTCTTTCATTCAGTGGAGGATCTTTATACACCCACTTTATAAATAATTGGACTTTATTGACCGAAATGTCTTCACATTACTCGCATCTTCATTATATGTGACCATTGGAATTCGTGGGTATACATAGGGCTTGGATGAACCCTCTATGCAATCTTGACTTGTAAAGATAATATGGTATGTGGTCCATTTAATACCTTTCATATGGTACCATACGATGCCATTATTCCTGTTATAATACAAAGAGCACATTTCGCATTTCTGCTTATAGTTAACAAAGCATGTGACTCATATAAACCTTTCTCTCCTCATAAGTATTTTAATAGAATATTCGCATGTGCTTCATATTCAGTAGATGGCTATTTAATGCATACAGGTATATTGCAAGTAAAATGATTTTGATTTATTGAGACCAGGTTTACCTGTGTACATGAACCATTCACTCTGTAGGATAACTATAAATATAATCAGATTAGTTTGGTGACCACAGATAAATATAATGAATACTGTAAAGTAACGTCTGCTTGTCAAACACGTTTCTAAAAACACTGAGTGATTTTTTGAAAATTAACTACATCTAAAGTTTCGGAATGATGAATTCGAGATAGTTTGTATCTTAAACTTTCTGAGGTGAACATGAACTTTGAAATAATTTCTGGTTCAGGCAATTTAACCTTCATTTCTGCCATACCATGTATTGAACCTTACCCTGAATCTCAGACTCGCGGACTTAATTTGGATTTTCCGGATATGGAGACGATATCATGCATAGTTATTTTGGTTCTTATACTGCTTCGGGAACTCTTGTTATGTCAGTTGAATAATCGAAGCATTAATTAGGGACTTTACTTGACATCTGATATAACGTCATCAGAAATTTTATCAGAATCCGTTCCATTTGAAATATTTCCTTCAAATTTATTAAGGATTTCATAATAAGGAAATGAGGCATTATAACAAAATAGACATTTGATAAAACAACATTGGGTAATCCGATCATTTTCAACAACTATCGCGATTCAAGAATATTGAATATATTCTTTCAGTAAACTATTTATGTTTCTTTTTCAGGTATTCATAGTGGTTATCATTTCAGTTGTGCTTAGCTGTTTGGAACTTAAACCAGTTTATGTGAATTGTACTCATCTTCAACATTCATATTTGTCATAAAACATGTGGGAGCACTGAAGATATTACAGTTCTTTTAGAGATATATCAATAAAGATATTTCAAGTCTGAAAGTTAGTTTTGTCCAAGCTAAATGACTAAAGTACACCTCATAAAGTGTTCATCAGATGCATAATTAACTGATAAATCATATTAAATCGAATACCACGCTTCCGAATACAGTGTCCCCCTACAGTATATGGTGTAGTTTCAATAAACATAATGATAACATTCATAAAATACGTCAGATTACATCATTGATTCTGTGAAATAACTAGTAAGTGACAAATGGGGATATTAACTAATGTAACTTACAGTCCCTACCGTGGCTATTACCTCTACTGGTTTGTCACCATCATCAAAGACCAAATCAAGCTAATGAATTTTAGGAAAGAGTAAATATGTAACTCAATAATTTAGTTCAATCCGTTAGTTAAGTCAGTCAAATTATTGATATTGCAAATTGTAAACATATATTAAATTATTGATTAATCGATGGTTACTACCACAGTTCGATATATCGAAAAATGACCATTTACTAGATAAATCTATGTGATATAACTCAGTGTATTTTTGACGTAACAGTTAGTCAGTTGCAGATTTATTATAAGTTTATCATAAAATGTTTATCTCTAGTATTGCTTTTTTCCTTGCACTAAACCATATCAGTATTTGTTCAGTTATACAGTATTATTTATTTAAACACATAAATATTGGTACAAAAGAGCACCAGATATATATGCGCCACACAAATCTTATTCGATTTGTGTGACGGCTGAGATACTGCCCAGGTGCCCAGACCGAAGCAGATGATTTTCTTAGGGGGACACAACCGGAGCCTTTGACCTAAAGGCCTGATCAACAAGACAGTGGAGCATCGTGAGGAGATGCAGTCCCAAGGTAGCCGGTGACCAACGATTGATTCATACGCCATTTGTTCCATCAGGAAACAGGAGCTCATGAGCACCTTTGGTTTGGAATCAGGGTTTTCCAACTCATCTAGATAAACTTTCCGTGTCCACCTACCAGGTTAAAGCGCCTAACATTCGCTTTTCGTCCTCTCGATTTCGTAAACAACACCCTCGCTACGAGAAGGCAGTGAGTAGGACTTCCCTGGGAGAGGCTATATACGTGTGGCCATGTGAGAGCATTTCGAGAGGGATAGTAGACTCTCCCCATTCTCGGCCGTACCAGGGCATTTGGGGGCTAGAAGCAAAAAGCCAGTTGTGGCCCCAGTTTTTAACTAATAGCCACAGCATTTTTCATTTTACAACAATAACTGAACTACTTGTTATTCGAAAAATTACCAAATACAGCGCCTAATTGTGAACGGCAAAACAAAAAGTTTCAAATCTTTAGTGTAATGAAGTTATAACAGTGGCTTCATTCAGTATTATGTTTAGTACAATATGGGATTCTCAGTATAAAACATTTTACTGCCAATTTATTTCGTGTTAACACAGACTTACGGAGATATATGCAATGACGAAAAGCTGAGATAGATAGAAGAATAGAGGCAGGTGGAAACATTTTTAAACAGGCATAGATGTTTGCCTGTGCTTATCGCGAAAGCGAATTAATAAACTACATCAACGAAAAATAGATCACCTATTTGATTTCAGATTAGACGATAAACAGATTCATTCCTGTTGTCTATTATACACTGACAGTTTAAGCAGGCGATGATATCGAATGTGAAATTATTTGAAATGTATAGTCTAAAGTTAGTCAGTCATTAGGAGCCTTCAAAGAATTATCTACATTAAGTGAGCTTTGCTTTTATAAACTGTAAAGGAATACTTTAAATCGATGAGATTGTGAAGCCTTTTTGAGTGACTTAGTCAAGTAAGTTTAATCACCTTGTGTTGTACTCCGTTTATCCAATAGAGTTAAAATACGAGCAAGACTGATCAAACCAAAACGTGTAGGAAAATGAATTTTTCTTGATTAAGATATGATAACTTTTATTAACTTGAATTAACACAGTTGTAGATTTATCCCAATAAAGCAAATTTATCACTTAGTTGTGTTCTTTGGAATCTTAAATAATAAATGTTACGTAACCTCTGACATGTTTATGATGTTGACTTTAGACATAAAAAGAATAGGATGAATAAATCACTAATAAATATCCGAGCTAGGACTTTACAGATGCTTAGTACTTTATAATGTTTTGAATGATATCGCTTTTATTCTCAAATAGGACGAAACGCGCGTCCTGGATTCCACTGCTAGCCACTATTCATCTTTGCTTAGCATAATAGTAATGTTTAGTAAGAAAGCATAGTTCACAGAACATAGTGATAACTTATTTACATGTGAGCCAATTGACTTATAAAACTTTGAAAAACATTTTTTAGCAGGTGACAGAAAGTGGTTACTAGTTACATCACCATTTATTCATCTTTTTTTATTGAATGACTATGTACATTTAAAATGTCATTCGAATTATATGGCCCACATGAATATAAGTCATTCATTTTCAATAACCAATCAGATGATAGTATTCATCAGCCAAATACCGATCGATGCATAAGTAAATCAGACATATAAACAAGGTTATCATCACATTGCTACGACAAACCAGTATAAATATTAAAAGTGATTTTCTATAAAACTGAAGATAAATCTTGCTGTAGTCTATTCAAGCTTTACAGTAATAATCATTGTGTATAAAACAAAATGGATTACAATGAAAGTTCAACGTAAAATAGTCGATTATCAAAGAGTAGGAATATTTAAATACAGTCGTGGAGATTTCATCGTCCTTCTGAACGACATCATCAGAACCGAATTCGGGTAGAATGTATTAATCGAATTCTTAAGAAAGTAATACATTTCGGTTGCAATTAAACACATACATATTGGTACAAAGGGGCACCAGATACATATGCGCCACACAAAACAATGAGAATGGGAAGAGAAAAAATGAAGATGCGTATATATAAAAGAAAAAAAGAGAAGAGTAATGATGGGGGGGCTGAAATGCACAACCAGGAGACTCTTTCAGTTAGGAAAGTTATAACCACACTTTATGAAGAAAGTAAAAGGTTACAGTAGGATCGCCACTGGCTTCTATTCTGAGTCATATCTCTAGCCACTGTGTTGCACCATCTCTTGGATCCCAGCCAGGGTGTCGTGAAGGACCGATAGAAGCCAGCCCTTTGCAGCTTTTTTTCATACCACGACATACATGTCATACACTGACCACTTCTCCGCTTAGGTTGGAAACGATAATTAAATTCATTGATTACAAGTCTAGAACAAAGCTTAAGAAATCTATGAACAACAACCATTTTCCCGTAAACATCAATATTATTAATCCCTTTTCTTGACATCAGTTATTTATTCTTCAGTTTATTTTCACATAGGTAAAACAAATCAAAAATTTTGAAACAAACAATGAATAATATTTTAAGAGTTACCAAGTGGTTTTGTATAGAGTACTTTTCTTAATGCATCTATTAAACTTGACGGAAAAAAAACATTTATCGTAGACATACTTAGCTCAAGAAAAACTATATTCTTTAAAATAACCAATTCATAGACCTGACTATTCGATGTATTCTTGAGATTTAACAAAAGAAATGGAATGAGAAGACATTTATAGTCATTAGTTATATGATTTACCCTAAAACATTTGTCGATAAGCATGACAAGAAATACTTGGAAATTCATAATTATTGTTTTAAACAATTATACAAAAGTGGTCATTTGAGTAGGGCATTCTATTAGATGATTAATACGACTAAGGGAATATGCGGCTGAGTAAGTATACAACTGTTCTTGTAACAATATAGCCCGAAACAGTATGGCTTTATACTTAAAAAGGGACTTCTTACGACTATCAAGTGTTTGGGGACTCGTTAGGAAATAGTTGTATGTAGTTACATTCAATCTGTAACTATTGAGGTATCTCCGTCAAACATGCAGTTTATATTGCTTAATTTTGTTTATTTCTTGCTGTTTATTCGTTCGTCAGAACTAAATAATGGTTATAAGAGTTAGTAAATGGTAACTGGACCTGGAAAAAGTGAATATTTATTAGGACAGCAATTAAAAAATTGATGGATATGTTTGTCAACAGAAATGATACACTATTATCAAAGAAAGTGACTTCAACCAATAGTACCGTCAACTAAATTTAACAATCTACAAACGATCCAAAAGAAAACATCACATTTGATGCCTGGTTGCAGCCCGAAACTGTATTTATGATCAACTTGACTCCCAAAACGATACCTGGAAGACCCAGTCGCTATTACATAATATATGTCTCTCTGTTTGGAAAAAGTGCTAGAACTTGATTCAAGCAAGTTATTAGTGCAAGTGTGGTGATCATTCATCACCTGAAGACTAAGAAATGTGGGATGATTCTTCACGTCGATATTTTTAACCGCATATGAACGTCATGACCTTGCAAACATGGTTGGTAACCAAATCAAGTAGTCGATTCTAGCAAATAAACTCCGACCCTCCACGTTCTCTACTATCAGAAATCCATTACTGAATCTTCTAGACTAAAAAATCAAAATGACAGCGGGTATCAACGTGCTATTAGCAATGATACACGAATTACTAAACAGATGGCATCAAGTCCGAATGAATTTATACGAACTAACCCACCAATTTATCAAGAATAGCTGCCAACGTTACAGCCATTACCAAGCTAAAAATACCAGCTAATCTCAAAAATAAGAATGTGTCCGTGGTTTGTAAGAATGATAATTCCCTACATCTGGGTACTCAGTAGGTGAGCGTTAAATTATGAATGCATTCATGTAACGAAAAGTAGCTGGGATTTCATTCTCGGATCAACCTACATGCCTAGGGGAACCCTAAGATATCAGAAATCTTAGTATGATAAGACAAATATGTGACAGTTGAAAACATTTTATTCCTATGCAGAACTCTTGAAACTTTATCACTCATTGCTTAGTTGGTCCAAATTATTATTTAAGCAGCATGTATAACTAGACTATATTTGTATTGCTTCGTGCTAATAAAGATTTTATCACTCTTCAATTCACTTATAACACTTTTCCATCGAAATGAAATAAAGCTTGTGCAGTTCAAATTAGATCAACAGCAATAATATAACTCACCCAGCTAAATGCTGCAATCACAAAGCAACATTTTCAATGCTAAACATCTAACATTCGTATAAATAAATGCAAATTGTGCTTGATGATAACTTAAATTCGGGTCCATACAGTTCTTGAACAAATAACTTCGAAAACTAGTGAACGTTCAAGTTTTTTATACCTATTGCAGTCAATCTTTCAGATCTACAGACAAGTCTAACAATCCTAAACAACTCATTGGAAAATCTTTTTAGAAAACCGTTGAAAGTTTCTTGATTGACTATAGAAAATTGCATGAAACTATTCATGTAAAAAAAACTGGATGTTTACCTGAACGATATATTAAAGTTCCTGCCGAGACTTGTTAAACCTATTAACTGAACTTTCATTCAATCAATAAAACACACCAGAACAATATCACTGAAAGAAATTTTGTATTTGTTATATTAACAGCTGAAATATAAATATGAAACTTCATGAACCCTAATGATGATCATAAATTTGATTTTATACACAATTGTCCATTGATATTTGGCTATCAATAAAAAAATTGTTCAAAGTTAATTAATTTACACATTATGTAATTTAACTTAAGTTCATAAATGAATTCTGATATTATCAGTAAACAACGCACTGCGTTGTGTTGATTGAAAAGAGACAAACTACTGAACAAAACACAGGGATACAAAGATAGTAAATTATGGTAAACATAAAATATTCAACGATTACTTCTGTTTCACTATCATAGTAAAATGCATATTATTCCACAATTAAATTAATTCATTGGTAAAAATTATCCCAAGAAGGATTAAATTATCTAAATACTGAACTAAAAATATAAAAGCAAAAAATAAGGAATCACAAACTTTTGCTAAGTAAATACAGTGAACCATTCATTCAATAAACAAAAAAGAATGAATAAACTGGAAACAAAATTAGATAGATTAATAGTAATAATGATAATACTTATATCAGCAGTACCTGCACACTGTAATAATTAATGAAAAACTAGAAATGGAAAATTGCACATTACTTCAGAATATTTATTGGGTTAATTATGTCACAAAAATATTTTTTAAAAATGTATACATATTTTTTTTATCCGAAACTGATGGTTAGATGTAAACATTTAAGACTTCTGACTAGAATTTTTGAAAACCGCATTACTTTGCTTACAATGACAATTAGATTATATAATAAGTAGTATGTATTCAGCTGTACACGTATTGACTAGTTTTATAAAAAAATATATACGCTGTAATTGTCATTCTTGTCATTGATACTTAAAAACATAGAACTAGAAATGAATTCCTCTTAAAAAAACACTAGAAATATATCTAAATATAGACAGAAAGTTCTAAATTATTTTCCATTTACACATACGTGCCCACCTCCCATGAGTGATACTGCTACAGTAAGTCCTGATTGACTATTCTGGATTGGATTTCGTGGTCTAACATTTGATGGTATAGGATTAGCAATAGAAGGATGAGAACGATGCAACGAATGAGTGGGAAAATGATGCCCACCAATGGAAGGATGTGAAGTATTATTTGGTGCTAAACTACTATGTTGAGAGAATTGGACAGCAACTGAGGCAGGTTTAGACTGAAGTTGGATAAAAGGGGAAACAGGGCAAGGAGATGAGTGAGGATTGTGATGAAAATTGGCATGCTGAACATTCACAGACATAGGTTTACGTGACCCTCCACGTGTTGAATAAATGGAATTATTAACAGCTCTACCAGGGATAACCACAGTGTGATTCGGAGAAGAATATGCCGGTTGGTAAGGAGGACTTGATTGGTGAGAAGCTAGGTTTCTAGATTTAGAGGACTGTACAATAGCTGTATGAGACACTGAATTCGGTATAGGGCGATTATTATTTGTGCTTGGAAGGAAAGGTGGAGGACCGCTATGACTTCTTGGAGTATGGTTTAAGTGTCCCTGCATCCCAGGATAAGGGTAATGTAACTGCATAGGGGGTGGTGGTGGGGGTGGTGATGGTGTGGACGATCTAGAAGGTGGTGATGTAGTTGATGGAGGGACAACGGACAACTGACTGATCGATTTGTCACCAACATTACCAGAGGGAGATCTAGATGAACATTGTTCAACAACTGTTTGAGAAGAGCCAGAAGTAGTAGTTCCTGTATGGTTTGAACTGTTAGAAATTTGAATCGATCCGGATGAAATTATATTAGAGGTGGGTGAAACAGAAGTAGGCATATCAGATGATCGTCTTTGAGGAGGATTCGGTTTGAATCTGATTGAAGAATTTGCAGTGACGGACTCAGGACTACTATAATTTTCAGTAGAAATCCATGGACCGTTAACCAATGAGACACTAACACCAACTGAATCTTCTGGAGGACGATTGGCTGTAGTATCCTTGGAATAAGATTCGGATACCAGTCTTTGATAATCTGCCTTAAGTCTGAAATACAAAGATACAGCAAAGAAAATATAAAAAACAGTAATATATTAGGAAATATGTACGAATATTTGGGAATAAAGTTTTTAATATACCACGACACTCCTTTTTTGTCCAAATAATTCACACAGAGAAGCAACATAGTCACATTCATAAAAATAAATGTGACATTTTCATTAAATAATCAGTTGTAATGTGGAAGTACTAAGCGTATATTAGCAGATGAAACATCCAAGACCTGCCAGTTATTTTATAAATTCTATTAACTAATATCATCCGTATAAAACATGAAACGGTAAAAAGGTTCGTATTACGAGACGTCTACGTGAATCCCAGAAGTAACCAAAACATAATTAATGACCATCCTACTATAATTCATGTTCTGTTACTAAACTTATAAAAATAAAAGTTCGAAGTCCTGAAGTACTAAGAAAAATCTGACAATTTTGTTTTATCCATGGCGATGTTGTACTTCCCGAAAACCCAGAAAATTCCAATGTCCCAATAGAAATTCTAAAATAACTATTTTATCGCACAATGACTATACAAAGTTCTTATATAAAGCTCCAATACCTACGATGTAAATGCGGCTCAAATGAATTACGTAAAATATGTTCGAGTAACTGAAATTGATACTTTTAGATAATTTTATGCAATAAATAACATTGTTAACAATATCCAAATACATTTTATGGCCTAAGCATTATTCAAAATAAAGAAAATACTATTTAAGTAGTGGAGATCGAAAACAGGAATATCGTATAATCTCGTCATCATGAGGCCAGATTAAAGCAATAAAAAAACTGCTAGCGACAAAGAGTCGTATATTTGACATTTTAGTCAGGCTAACCTTCTGGTGATACTTAAGGTAAATTAGGCTGGCATATCCCACTGTTGCCACATTAATGTTGAATTAACCAGTAACTTCTTGAGAGCAAGTATACAACCGTTTTGATGTCCGAACACTTAATTATTCGCAATGCTTAACCAAAATGATAAGTTAGGATGAAAGAAATTACTCCAAAAAGATGAGTCTACTTCTCCTACTCCGGGATAAGGGTATTTTAGGGTGGACAGTATCTCAATGTTTGTGAGCTGAGTTTGCATTTATTGAAACCTGAAAAATGATCTCTCATGTGATGTTAAGTCAAACAACTACACTCTCATAGGAATTTGTTAAGCCACCACTCTTGAACAATGATCACATTCGTTTGCCATAAACCATGTAAGATGAGTTTTACTAAAAAACTCTACCCCGACCAAACAATACCACGATTTATTTGACGTACTTTTAGTATGACCAGCAAGCAGATAAACAAAGATCACTTAAGCAAATGAGTATTTAACTGGCTTTATCCAGAAAGTAAACTACTGAACGAGAAAAGACAAATAATAATCGTTGGATAGCAGATTAGAAATATTCTTTACTAAATGTTATTGAAGCAGACGAGTACCTCCGATGGCTTTAAGCGAGAGATACCTTGTCGTGCTTAAATTGTGTTTGTGATGCTTGTGAAAAAACGGTACTGAATAACCTAATTCACCGGAACATAATTTACTGTAAAGTTGGTTCTTTGAGTGCTCTCCAACACTTTAAAGTGATGACCACCAACTATCTTGACAGTAATGTCAGCGTCGGTGGGTTGTTGGTCGATGAAATATTGACATGGAGTTCGGTGGGACAATCAAGTAGAGACGAAGGGTAGTAGTAGTTAAGCATAAACAATCAATTGAACTGAATATCCATCCATTTACTCAGGTGGCCAAGACATTTGTTACATACGCCCCTTAAGATGTGTAACGGTGATTGGAGTAGGTTGGAATAAAATCCGCGAGCAACTAAATCGAATAGTGGCATCAGGTCAAAAAGTTACTATCTTATGGTTCAAACTACTTAGGAAAATTTAGACTACGTAGTCATGGTCCATGAAACAATCGTGACCAAGGACTGGAAAGTTTAAGTGATGTGGTTTGAAATTGATTGCAGTGGTAAAGGGGTAATCATCCCCTACTTTCTAACAGAAATGGAGTTTCCACAATCGGTCATAACTTTTTATTCTATGAATTGATTTTCTGTTCGTTTATCTTCCATCATGGATACTATTATTCAGATGCGTACGGTATTCACTTTGTAAAATTTACCTTACTATATTAAGGTGGGGCAAACAAAACTGATTGACGCTTGTGCAATTCACATTACTTCTAAGTAAAAAACGACTCCTTCCTGGATTTTGCCCCCGAACGCCCTGGTACGGCCGAGGGTGAAGAGAGTCCGCTTTCCCTATCGAAATGCTCTCACATAGCCACGCGTGTACAGTCACTACCAAACAAGTTCTACTCATTGCCTTCTCGCGGTATTGCTGTTGTTTATGAAATCGAGAGGACGAAAAGCGAATGTCTGGCGCTTTAATCTGGTCAGTGAATATAGAGGGTCCACCTAGGGAAGTTAGAAAACCCTGATTCCAAACTAATGGTGAAGGTGAACTCCAGGATTCTGAGGGAACATTAGGCGTATGAACCAGTTGTCGGTCACCGGCTACCATGGAACTTTATCTACTGACGTTGCTCTACTGCCTTGTGGATCAGACCTTTAGGTCGAAGGTTCCTAGTGTGACACCCGAGTAGTATCACATCGCACACACAAATCAAGGGACTTGTGTAGAGTAAATGTATTCTGTGCCTCTTTGTACCAATATTCATGTGTTCAAGTAATAATAATAATAATACCTTCCTGAGCAATCAAAACTGATTAGATCCCCAAGAGCTTGAAACCAATTGTTGCCGTAATAATGACAGGCTTCACGCTTACTAATTTGCTTTTACTACTCATAATGAAATAATATGACAAGTTCATACACGTAAGGAAAAATATTTTCTACAAACCGAGTTCATACAGTCCCTTCTCTAAGAACATGACTGGTATATTGACGAGATGTAAAAAAGCAATAAATCTTACAAAAGTAAAATGACACTAGATGATACATCATTTTTGAAAACTCAAAGAATACAAAAAGGTATCACAAAATTATGAGATAACATATAGTTTATCAGAGCTAAAGACTAAATTACCTTTCGAAACTACACTCAATCGCTTTACGATTCTCCGTTTCCTCGGCCAACTTTTGTCGTAACAACTCACACTGACGGCTACAGCACACGTTATTATCTGAACCAACTGTTTCAGTCATCTTGTTATCAGAGTTGTTACATTCTGAACTAAATGATTTCGTATTGAGGCTATTCTGTTGCAATGATCGCTCCAGCTCAATCACACGTTTCTGCTCGTTAGCAAGTTCATTAGAAAGACGTTTGCGCTCTTTTATGAGAGTAACAGCAGCAAACTTTTGCTTATTACATAGAACATTTTGTTCCCTCCAACTGAGAATTACACGCCTCAAGTCACGGGTAAGCTTTTTGTTCTGCAGTTTTTCATACTCAACCTGAAAATTAAGCAAAAAAACAGGAAGTACCTCTGACTTAAGTCTCTCACGCTCCTTTTCAAGCATTACTAAGACGTCGTCACCTTGAGCAGCATCTCTTTCGTGTTTTCGACGTTCCTCCTCTAACTCTTCACACGCCTGTAAAACAATTACGGATGTAAACATATGACTTGCCTTGACATATCTTTTCTCCATTAGGACTAGTTGGTCTCGCATTTTGTTCTGAGCATACCTTTGAGATGATATGAGATTCTCTAGCTGTAATAACTGGCTATCATACAATGGCTTTAAAGCAGATTCACTATCGCATCGAGGTGAGCACAGCTAAGAATGAAGGCAGTACAAACCAAACTTACTGAATCTCTTCGTAATGCCTGAAAAGGATCCTTTAAGTCTCTGACACTCTGTTGGTCGTTTACCACAATACCATACTTCGCCCTTAGATTGGCCGTATTTACATGTTCAGACTGAAAGTAATTCACTGAAAAACAACCCACCCTTAGAGCAGCAAGTGCTATGTCTCTTGCTTCCAGCTCCCCTTCCAGGTAAGCAAACAGTCGGATTAAATCATCTTTACCTAAGTCATCCACAGATTTCTACAGCATAACTAGATCTGTACAAAACTCACTTCGTTAAAATCATTCCTGACTTCAGTCATACTTTGCAGGAGAAAATGACGAGTTTTAGCTAACTTAACCAGCTATGAGTATACAAACTGATCATAATATAGTTAGCACTGTAAAAATCATAAGTCAGTCCAACCGACCTAAGCGCGCGCAACCATATATTGACCATTTGAAAGAATAAAACGGTTTTCACTTTGAAGCGATCAAAAAGCTTTAAGTCATCATGGAAGAGACATTGGTACACTATTCTGAATATCTCTTTGTTTATTGCTCCAAAAGACAATCGATCCAACTAATAAGCGACACAGTGACGAAGAAAGTCAATAATTTTCATCTGATAAAATAAAATATCTTCCTTATTTTCTTGGCATTGTATAACCATTCATGTTTTCATCAAATAAGTGTAATTTTTGTGCATTAACTCTGAATGCCATCCGCTTTCACCATATCAGTTTACTGCTATACTGTGTGGTAAATGTAGTTCTACATCTGTCATTATCAATTGCTCCTTAATAAACCCCGAAAGTTGATTATATGATATAGCAATTCTGTATGCGTTTTAGGCCCAGTTAAAATTGGTGTGAAAATCAATCTTTCTTACTCTCAAGCGCTGTGTAATTTATATTTTCTGTCATATCGTAGACTAAGAGCATCCAGCAGAACATTGACCCATTGATTGATAACCTATTTATGGTGTTCACCCAGACGAACATTCCCCAAAGCTACATTCTTTCGTATAACCTATTATTATTTGATCATTAATTGCCATTAATGTTTGTCTTTTTGGGGTATTTCTCCCAATTTTGCCTTTGTGTCCAACTATTGTATTTTGAACATTAATATTTTTAATCAAATCACCTAGTTGTACGAAAACAAGTGTAGAAAAATGTATATTCATTTACCGTAGGGTTACTAACAGTTTCAGGGACCGACAAAAGCTGCTAGTTAGACATAGGGTTAGCGACACCACTTCGTGAAAGAGAAGCTAGATATAAAATCGACAACTACGGTAAACCAATTAATCCTATTAAACCCGACACTGGGATTTGAAAAATCTTCATGTAGAAAGTTCACAACAACTCATGGTTGGAGCTGAGATTCTTTCGAAGTGCTGAGGCAGGTGTTACTTCTAAACCAGAGTAATATAAAATGTCCTGACAATATGGGAGGACAGGAGGTTCGTCCAAATATGATGGAAGCGAGAATATAAAACTTGAATGTGCATGAAATCAGTAAAATCTGTGGCAGTCAACAAACCCCAAAACAAATAGCTTCGTATGTCTAGCAGCACCTTTTTATGAAGGGGGCTCGGTCGATCATCCGAATCACTTTACATTCAGTACGCTGTGTTGTGGATCTGTAACCGCTTAAGTTGGATGGTTAAGAGTTACCCGAAAACATAATAAAACTGCAACAGAAATAATCGAGGAATCCAACTTCCAGCGGGTCCATAAGATTTTTAACTTTTAAGACACATTCTGTTTTAAAACACTTTAATTTCCTAGATGTTTACAACTAGTCTATTTCCTTGTAGATTACGAGTACATTCTGAGATACCAAACATTTACGTGAAAGCGAACATTTATTACTCCGAAATGTACACTTCCTTTTAATGCCTGATTTTTTACGAGAGCAGTGAACTGACATCCTTTCATTTAATAAATTGATCATATCTACATCCACATGGGAGTAGATTCTAGGATGTGGCTGATGCAATAGTCTAAACTATTTAGACTTAGCCGAAAACCTCCCGTCAATATCAATACGAAATGCGTAGAGATTTTATTTACCTCCTTACTTTGTGTAGGCACATGTTTCCTACTATCTTGCCTTGAATGTTTAAAGATTGATCCGTTATAATTAGGAATTCACCTGGAGGTAAGGAAAACCTATCACAATCACAGTGAAGTTTTCTCTGTCTTTATACTGCGACGGGCGGACATAGGGTTAATGATTAGTGAGTCCTTGTTTTGGACAAAATAATCCTTTTATATATATACTCATTAGCAGTTTGATCTTCCGATAAACTAAAGTCACTGATTTTTATTTGATTTAAGTTTATGTCTTTTTATTTCGTATATTTGCCATTAGATTTATTTTTACTCGTTTATATTGCACGTAAATGTTTCTTATATATCACTAAATGTCAGACTGAATGTAGAGTGAAAGCCAACAATATAAGTATAACTTGTCGCCTGTATAGATGAACATGGTTGCGGCTACGAATCACTGATTCTCAGAACTTGATATCAGTGACCATGAGTTGTGGTTTTCTGGACTTCGACACTCCTTTACTAGTCAAAATATCCAATCTGAGGGAGTTCGATAATGAAATTCATGCTCTATGCTTCCTCCTTTAGTTGTCAGAGAAGTTCTCCTTCGTCACAACCCTACACCATTTTAAGACGTGAACTGATGAATCGTTAACATTTACCAAACAGCCAAAGAATCCAGAAGCTTTTCTAGGGGTGAGCATCGAGTCATACGTCACTACCCCATTTCTTATAATAAAAATATGTTTCCCCCAGGGCACATACACGCCGTTATTACAGGCATAATCTACAAATCACAACATTAGTTTGCTTGCAGCAGACTTCCCAAGTAGCGTCAAAAATAGATGGAATCAATAAAATTAAATGATAGTACACTCGTGCAGATGTCTGAGTGAGTTAATGAGTAGGTTTGACTCGTTCTTAAAATAATTTTCCAAAGTGACATCGCGTCCACGTTACACATCAGATCCAAGCCTGATATGATTGTGTTAGAATTCTGGCCGTGCTAAATATTTATGAAATACAACTTTTGAGTTTATAGTTGCTATAAAGTAAATTTGTAGAGCTCTTGGTGTGAATTATGACCTTGAGAAAGCGCATACGTCAAGTTTGTTCCACTCATCAGAAACTCCATAGCTGTGCCCTCGGAGACAAGATTCAGAAAAAAACCAAGGAGCAGCAATGCATTGGGATATGAGGGTTAAACAATGTTTAATATTTTGTGGTGGAATAGACAGACGTATGATGAATTAGTAGATTAAATTCATACTAGCACTTGCTGCCAGAGTAAAATGTGATAAGAGCCTCCAGATGAGAGAAGTTAGTAATAAAGAACAATGGATTGTGATATCTAACAAGGTGTAGTAGGTTCGAATGATGGGAAGAAGTCGAAGTTAGTATATGGAAGACTGTTTATTAAATGTAAAAGTGCATCAAGAGAGTAAAGTGTTAAGGAAATTAATAACTCTATATTTCATTGTCTGACATTTGTTCATCTGATGCCAGCCACATAGTCCTAGTGTAAAAGTCCGAATTCTCATGTTGTAGATTGTCTTAGTAGAACGGCTAATTCAGTATAAAATTGGAAACATGAGTCAAATGGTGAGCACAGGAGAACAACCTCAATATCATTGATCGATTGACTCGTTCTCTATCATAAAGAGTCTGAAACAAACAAAATGTTCTGCCCCACAAACATGGCGGATTGGGTCATCACCCTCACCATCAATGCTTACCAGTCAGTAACTCTACCCTCCCTCCTTTTGTAATTTTTTGCTCATTTAAGCTTATTTTTGGATATATATCATACCTCACATGATGCTCTTTGTTTCACATCCTGTTGGAAAACATTATTTCCATAAGTAACGGCTTACAAACTTATCAGGCAGCTACAAATTATGAGCTGTGAGTAGGGCGTCGATACAGTGCTTTAAATTACCATAGTATAAACTATAGGTTGTCGACCAAAGTTTGAGCATTAAGAAGGTTATAATGGAATACAGTTGTTCACCGAAGTAGGTGGAAAAGTATAGGAATATATTTGTTATAGATAAGGCAATGGGTGGTGAAATAATGTCAATGGTAAGTCAACATAATGTACGGGAGAGTAGAAAGCTGATAAAGAAAGAAACAAGAAGAAACTCACATCAACTTGGTGCTGATGTAATTTTTTGCTATCCTAACCGGGTGATGAGTTTAAAACTCTATAGACGCAAGACCACTGGTAGTAGGCAGTGGATTGTGTTGTTCTCTTGGCAACTTTTAAGGACAGTAGTGAGTGTCCCTTAGCGATCGACTATAGTTGAGCAGCATCGATAGGTTCAGTGAGTTACCAATCTATTTCAAGTAAAAAGTCAAGGGGGGATGAATACGTAACACAACTGCAAAGTAGGAAAGTATGGTAAATTGAACTTGGAATTCAATTTGGTCTGTACATGTAGAGGGCCTATGATGTCTAGATGGGACGCAGATGTGTTCGATCGTATTAGATCTGTGCAGGGAAAGACTTCATCAAGAAGCTTAACAAACGTATGTAATCCATCTGCCATGCGTATTTCAGAGGAAAGACTGTTCCATAATAATGCATACTTGATAAGGAAGAAGTTTTCCCGAGTTTTTATTCTGTATTTTTCAACTTTGAGCGTATGTACTTTGTCTTTAAGGTCGTATCCATATGGGTCTTGGGTAAGAATAGTACTACGTGTGGAGTAGGTAAGGTTTTGAGGAGTTTGAAGTAGAAAATGAAATTCCACCCAAACCTTCTTTTCCAAAAGGGTTGTAGTCCTATGATTTGGATGGCATCTGGAATTATAGCCAATGAATGAGTCGGTCACAAGTATTTCGAGGGGTTAAATCCCGTTGTATTCGCTCTACCTTAAGTATATCGGATAGGCTTATGTTGGAAAATGAGAAGGAAAAGTATTCAGCAATAGGTCTTACACATACCTTGTGAACAACGAGATGAAATTTATTTTGGAGTAAGTCAGGAAGAATGACGCGAAGCGATTTCCGCATTTTAGATGCTTTTGTGGAAATTTGTTCGAAGAAATTAAGACTCTGTAAGTAATGCACCCTTGGGTCAGTCACTGATGTTTGTTTTGGCAGTGCATTCTTGCTAAGTGTTAGTTTTATTTTAAGAGACGTGTCTCCCATACATAGCCAGCGGCCTTTCGCTGTGTTGAGCTCCTACCAATTGTCTACCTTGTTGAGTTCATGCTGTATTGTTAGTATAGTACTAAGCACATCGTGAATTTTAGCGGTATAGTTGACTTTTAAGTCATCATCGTAAAGACAGGTCTCACCTATGTCAAAACACCTGCATATATTATTGATGTAGATTGTAAAACGCTATGAACTCGAGACACTACCCTCCACGGCACCACTGGATACT